AATAGTAGTGTTGTGTTGCGAGCACTTCAGATGTCGTACAAGAGATGATTCGGTGGTACGGGATAACGAGCACTGGTATGCTATGCCCGGCCCCAGTAGATAGTGATCAGGGGTTGGGCTGACGAGTATCGAGAGGCGACGGGGGGTTACGAATGCATTGGCGTATACGGCATCGCATACCAGTGCGCAAACTCTTCAGCCCTTATCACTGGCCTCTGCTATAAGAAGTAGTGTACTGTCAGTGCAAACATTCAGATAGTATTTAATAGTATGTAGTGGTATGGAGAGCACCGGTATCTCAACCAGAGCTCATACGCTAAATGTGTTTCTGTTTTGCGATTATATTTAGAGAAATCAGTGATTAAAATGCCATTCAAACCATACATTTGCCAACAAAAGTGTATTAAGATTTCAAATCCAATGGTTTCGCACATAAACTCAAACGACAAGTGATTTACTCTATAACCAAACCTAACGTATCATAAAGTTATCAAAAGTTTTGATTCAAAAACTAAAACTTCAAAATCAAAGCAAACGTGTTGTGGAAAAAGCTTTTTCCAGTTTTTCAATGATTTAAGTTTTGCTACGAAAAAAATCACAGCTTTTTGTGACTGTATTTCACACACAAATCAATTTGAAAATGTGTTCAAAAAGTTTGCCAACACTTGTGTGGACACAAGTATTACTTCTATTACTTACTCTACAAATACTGTTAATATCGGGCGTTAAGCTGTCGGCGCCGGACTCGGCGCGACAATGCGAGCCGATACGGATCGACATGTGCCGGGGGCTGGGATACAACGTGACGGGTATGCCAAACATGGTGGGGCACGAGCTGCAACAGGACGCGGAGCTGCAGCTGCAGACGTTTACCCCTCTGATTCAGTACGGGTGCTCATCGCAGCTACGGTTCTTCCTGTGCGCGGTCTACACGCCCATGTGTACCGATAAGGTGCCCATCAGTATCGGCCCCTGTAGGCCACTGTGCGAGAACGTGCGCCACAGGTGTGAGCCCGTGCTCCAGGAGTTTGGCTTTCCCTGGCCCTCAGCACTGAACTGCTCGAAGTTCCCGCTGGAGAACAACCACCAGCACATGTGTATGGAGGGCCCCGAACCTGAACACCACGAACGCCTCCCTCAGCACAAGTACCCCACAGCCCACTCCATACCAGCCGGTGGTGGAGGCGGTGGCGGCGGTCGAGGCGGACACAGCGGGCGCCGCAATAAACCCAATAAACACCATAAGCCCTCTCAGACGGCCGTACCGGACGGACAGTTCAGTCGTGGAGGCACTGGTAGTGGCGGACAGCCGTCAATTGTGTCGGTGGCCAATGGCGGGCACAGCCTATCGGTCGACACGACCCGCAAACACCACTACAACCTGTGTCTGGACTACAAGTACTTCGATCAGTACTATTACATCAACCGAACCGAACGGTGCGCTCATAACTGTTCCGCAGACATACTGTTCACCTCAGAGAACAAGAACTTCGCCGATCTGTGGACAGCCATATGGGCCGTCATGTGCTTCGTGTCCACACTCTTCACAATCAGCACATTCCTCGTCGACTCGACCCGATTCCGGTACCCGGAGAGGGCCGTCATCTTCTTGGCCGCCAACTACTGCATCTACTCGTGCGCCTACATCTACCGGCTGATTGCCGGCCGTCAAGACGTGGCCTGTCATGTGGACAGTCAGCACAACGTGTCGATACTGATCCAGGAGGGCCTCGACAATGTCAACTGCACCGTCATATTCGTGTTGCTCTACTTCTTCGGCATGGCGTCGGCTGTTTGGTGGCTAATACTGGCGTTCACCTGGTTTTTGGCGGCAGGCCTTCGGTGGTCACCGGCAGCTATTGACTCGAAGTACACGTACTATCACTTCATTGCGTGGATACTACCGGCCCTCAAGACGATAGCCATTCTAGTGATGCGAGTGGTGGACGCCGACGAGCTGACCGGCACCTGCTATGTGGGCCAACAGTCCCGGTCCACTCTCTTATACTTTGTGATCATACCGTCGGCCGTATACCTGGCCCTGGGAGTACTCTTCCTATTGGGCGGCCTCTGCGCCAAACTTTACGCCAACGATCAGCCCATTTGTCACACGTGTATCATCCCAACCCGTGTCCGACACGGTTCACACCACTCAACAATTACCTCCAGTTCCCACAGCACCACATGCCCTCATCCATTGTTAAGTCAGTCGCAAACGGCCGGTGCTGTCAACAGTTGCTATAAGGGCTCGACAACGGGTACGGCCGCCACAACTGCCAACCCATATAATAGTGAGAAACTGAATGTCCTGATGGTGAGGGTCGGCATATTTGCGCTCATATACACCCTCCCGGCCACCAGTGTTTTGGGCGCCAATATCTACGAGTACTGGGCCCGTGACTCGTGGTATCTGATGAGCGCCGGTGCCATCCATGACAGGCCTAATGTCGAGATCTTCACTCTGAAGATATTCATGTCGTTAGTGATCGGCATTAAGACCGGTCTCTGGATGTGGTCCTCGAAGACGCCGTTCACGACGTGGCGTAAAGTCGGCAAACGTCTCGTCCAAAAGAAACAGCCCCTTCCCCTCTACCTCCAGGGAGTCAACGGCCCCGGCATTGTGGCCGCACATAAACAGGCACTCATACCAGTGATGACCAGCAATGGACAGGTAGGCGCTAATGGGAAACGAACGCGAGTTAAGGGCGCCGGCGGTAATGAGACGGCCGTATGACTGACCGACTGAGTCATCATAATTCATATGCCATTAACAGCACCGGTATGTTCAATGTTGTAGTTGTTGTTGCACCGATAACTTTTTTCGATCAAAATATAAAAGTTGTGTTTTGTTTGTAATCAATAGTTAATGAGTTTTTGTGTAAAATTTATTTATTAACTTATATTCTGGAAATTCAATCAAATATTTCTATTTATTATGTGAACAAAACATTTTGACATCAATTTGACAGCAATTATTCATACAAATCAAAACACTTTTTAATTCTCATCTAATATTATGTAAATTTTGTACAAATATAAACGATTAATAGGTTTTCAAATTTGCTTGCATTTAGAAAAAGTTACAAATTTTGTTCTGCATTTAACACACAGTATATTGTAATTAAACATTAGACACCAATTTTTAACTGTATATCATTTCAGCACATTCATTTGACATCAAATGTTGTAAATATAAATGTGTAAATAACATTTACTAATCATTTGTTTGAGAATAATAAATGAAAATAAACAAATTTAATTCAATTAAAAACTGAGTATTTATTTAATTTTATTAATTGATTTCAAATAAATCAAAATAAATCAAACCAAAAACAAATAATAATATTGTTTTTGTGTGTATAAGTTATTTACTGAGGAATACCTATTCATTAACATTAGTAAAACACCAATTTTCGTGTGACTGGGACGTCGACTAGAAAAACAGTATATCATAGTATTTTGCCAATCATTTAGACCCTCTCCCCTATTGTAGTCCAAAGTGTAGTGTATTTGTGGAAAATACAGTGTATTATAAATATTAGGAAACAAAAACAACAAAATAAACACAAAATACAACTTTTTGCGATGACAGGACAGGTATGCACTGTAACAGGTATACAGCGTATGGAATCGAATTTTGAGGGGAACTGGCGTTGAAAACTACTGATTCATTAGTGTTAAGGTTAAGGAGCGAGTGAACAGACAATAATAACTCACATCAACTTATATTCCCCTCTATTTCACTGGCTATGAAACTACTAATACTGTACTGTACCATAATAACTAACTTATATTGATTTTTAAATTATACAAATAACCTTGCTAAACTAACGTATATCCCATTTTTATTAAACAATTAATATTTATAATATTTTAGTTTTGGTACTTTTTAAACCACTTTAGAAGTACATGAAAATTATTAATAAGACATACCATTCAAGTGTTATATAAACATAAATACCATTTCATTAATATGATTAAATTCAGTTGTTTTCAAAGTTGTTAATAAAAACTGTAATATTTCTCATTAAAATAATTTTTTTTTTATAAGGAAAGTGTATTTCTGCTTAATTATAAAAAAGTTGACATTTATTCACATGTTTTGATTTTATTTACGAAAACACAGAATATTTAATTATATTATTTGTTTATTTGTTTAATTGGTGCGCTTTAAAAATATTATAGTTTTTATATTATAAAATGATAAAAACCAATGTTTAAAGCAATATGCTTGTATCGTTTATTCTACTGTTATGTATTATGTATTTTTAGATAAGAGAGAGAGAGAGAGAGAGCTATATTAACAAGTGATGATATGTGTAATAAAAATTGTATAATTCCTTTCCATGGAAAGGGTGTATAAAATTATGAGTACTGATAATTACGTATGATAATATTCTGATAATAAACTTATAAATTTACGTGTGCAGTATATACAGCATATAATTATTAACAGTAATTGGCAATGGTCTAAATTATATGAAATTAATTTACAACATATGATATAGTATTCAACATAATTTTATCAGTATTCATTAGTACAATTGACTTTATGTTTTCTATTGTTTTTGGTAATATTTCTAATAATAACTCAAACCCCTCAAAATGGTCATATTTTTAGTATAGCACTAAACTGTTTTCATATTCACTATAAAACTCGGGTCCAATGGCTGGTCCACAGGTGTAGGCCATCGATATGTACAGTATGTGTGTAATAAGGATTTTGTGAGATTATATATGCATTGAATCTATGGCCACAAATAAATTGCGAAAATAAACGCTAAACCAAATCACAAGAAAAACTTTTGCAGAGAGAGAAGAAAAGTAGAAAAGTTAAACACACAGATGTTTACAGCCATTCTACTCCCTATCCTTAAGCAGCCTGTCCTCTATCACTCAACGGGCAGGAGAGAGAGAGAGAGAGAGAGAGAGGGAGAGAGAGATTAACTGGAGGCGCTTTACGTGTTCGCCCCGCCATTCACTTCCAATACTACTGACTCTTATTTCTGGCGAAAATCAAAGTTTTTGCGCACAAATCCATTTTTAAGAGCCAAACTGTAAGCCCTGTTTACTTGTGTGGTGGAAGTTGCTGTACAGTGCCTGTGTGTGCTGTCTTTGGTCCCAATCCCTGTGTCCTTATATACAAACAGTGAGAGTGTGTGCCATTCCCTCACTTTTTACATTCTAGCTGTAAAACCTATGGGTTTTCTACTGTCGTTTAAAACTAACACAAGTTTTTAGGCAAATGAAGCGTATATTGGATTCAAAAAGTGAAGTCCAGTCTCCAAACACACAGCATGACTGACTATATTTTGAAGTCAAGCTCCTCTCTCTCTCTCTCTCTCACACACACACACACAACTGTAAGAAGTCATTAGTTTGTCCACACAAGCCATAGTAGGGCACAAAACTTAAGTCATTTGAATAGAAGTCATTCCAAGGAACTGATATATACTGTAATAATAATAACTGGTATATGACTAGACTTAGAATATTAATAATTTGTTAAAATGTATTGATGTTAATTGAATTTATTTAGGAAGAGACATAGAGAGTTTAATTTATAAATAGCTTGTATTACTTATAATATACTGTAATAAACAAATTAGAGTTTTACAATTTGGTTTGAAAATCTATAAAATAATAATTATGAATATATTGAATAGAAAATTTTAGCAACTTATAAGAAACCAAAGGATACTGTATTGTGAACTATTTTATAGCCCTGTTATTTGCACAGAATATTCATTTAATCAGTGTATGTGTGTGTAATGAAAAGCATTTTGTGGGCACATGTATGTTGTGGTCTGCCTTAACTGATAATGCATTTGCAAATGCAATCTCTGCGTTTGTCTAACGGCTTATCCATTATGTGGTATAAATCTGTTCCCAAACACATCCCATGCCATGGAATGACAGGACCTTCTGGTTCTTGTATGAAGTGTTGTGCACTGACTGTGTGTTTGTGTTGAGTATCGGTGCGCGGGCTGTGGCTGTCAGTGCTCTCATGAATAATGAATGTTATTTCAGTTGCATCGCATCGGCAACCCATCCATCCATACGAGTGCTGCTTATGGTTGGGATGAGTGAGTGAGAGGCACAGAGAGCGAAGACATTTCAAGTGAAACCAATAAATACTTTTCGATGATTAGTAAATTTTCGTGTCAAATATTCATTCGTTGTAAACAAAAGTTGATCAAAAAATTAATTTAAAATGATTATTTATTGAATTTGATTTATCTAGCGTATTATGTAAATCTATAGTTATGCATGATTTGGGTATAATATACACTGTACGGTATATACGACATAATTGCTGGTAAATATCGGTACTTTTGAATAATATTTATATTCAGGTATATAAAAAAGAATTAAATTTCTCGTAAAATAAATTTTTCTTAAAAATCCGTTTTATTTGTATTTAATTTCCACAATAATTTTATGAGAGAGAGAGAGAGCTGAATGTAAGCCATGTCCTGCGATAAACACATTGGGATTCATGTCTTCAGTGACGCCATACATAAAAATTGGCGATAGTTTTAATCGACTCTTAACTTCTTCGTCAAAAAGTCATTTTATTCTTTGATCTCATTTTATCAGAAAATAAAAAGTCTTTCAAAACATTAAATTAAATTTTATGACCAAAATTTCTAAAATATTTTCACATGTAATTGAAGTAATCATTATAAAAACAAACGAGAGTTGAATCAAAATATCAAATTAAAAATCAAATGTTATTTTGAGATAAATGGCAAATAATGTAAAGAATATAGTGTTTCAAAAAACTAACTTGTAAATTTTCTCACAACTATTGAATTGATATTTTAGATTATATTACAAATTTTGAATTTATTAACACAAAATAATTGAAGACTTTTTAAGGATGAGAGAGAGAGAGAGAGCTTCTAATTGAAAGGTTATACTTATCGATAAGTGCAATACAGGTAGTGATTACAGGTGTATGTGCTTAACAAATATGATAAACGAGTCATACTATTGAATGTAGAGATTGTGTGCAATAGTAAGACACGCATACAGTAAACGCCTAAATATTGATATTATATAATCATATTTATTAAAGTAATACATAACTTGGGAGATATTATAGCTACTAAAATAATAATTTTTACTAAAATTATATTTATTATCAAATATATGCTGATAAAGCGTTTCTGTTTAGCATACAATTAAATGTAGTTTTGTATTATTTTGTGAATTAAAATGCTTTTATGCAAATTAAACCCAAACTTTTAAATGTTGCTGAGAGAATCCGTACAAACTTTATGCAGTTTTATGATGCATTTATCAGGGTATAAGAAAATACTGTAGATACTATAGAACCTTGTTAGAAATTACCAATACAATGATGTACTGCTAGTATAATTTAATTTAAATAAATATAATTTAAATGTTAATTCTATGCGAATATAAAGTAAAATACATTTATACTCATAATAATGACCCTTGGTTTTGTAGTCAACCAAAAAAATCTATTTTCTAATTGCCAGTTATGTGCTGCCCCTCCATTCTGTGGTCTTAAGGGACATTCAATAAGTAAGTGCACAAAAGTTTACAAATTCTTTCTCTATAAACTGAGTCTACTTGACACTCACCTACCATATTTACCCTAGCATGTACAAAATGAATGGCTCCTTATATGTCTTGGACATAGACTATCATTATTCATATTATCTCATCATAACGAATACACTGGAGTCGACTAAATGGTAGACA